CAAAGGCTGCTTTTAATCCCGAGGGGAAGACCAATTCCTAGAGCAGGGTCACATGCCACTTTCATGTCTCTAGATTACTTGGGAGTCTTGTTAAAATGCAGGCTCAGATTCAGCAGGTGGGAGGCAGGCCCCATGGGTTCTGCATTTCTCACAACCTCCCCGGCGACACAGATGTCACAGCACCACACTTTGCAGTATAAGGGCCCTAGGGCAAGTGGTTCACAACTCTGGCCGCACATGAGAGTCACCCAGAGGCCTTTAGAAATCCCAACGCCCAGAACACATCCCAGAGCAATCAAATCGAAATCTCTGTGCATTGGAACCAAACAGTATTTTTTTAACTCCCAGGTGACTCCAATGTGCTGCTCCGGTTTGGAACCACCGATGGGAAACATGGGATGTAGAGAAGAGATTGTATGTCGAAGGCATCAACTGGGAATAATACTGAGGGCTCACGTTGCCCCATAATTTTGCCAGGACTCTCTCTCTGGTCATAAAGAAAGGACAGAAAAATCAAATTCTTGTCAAGACCTTTCAGAAGACTATGCAACCACAGTCGTCGTGATGTGAGAAAATACACTATAATCTAACATCAGGACAAAATTTTTCAATCAGCATGGGTGCGATTCTGTTTCAAACTGTAGTCCACATTATGATTTTAAAAATATACTTCTCGATGAATGAGCGTAAACAATATGCACTTACTTTCGGGCCACTCCCGAATGAGCAGCCAGCTGTCAGCAGGCAGATGTTTTTCAGCAAATCCCCTCTATCATTTCTCAATCAGAAACAAGATTAGAAATGGGATTTTTGGCTCCAATGGGGTTGAAGGGTGATATTTATGCCAGAAATATACTTCATGCCACAGCCAGAAAAATTGCTTTGGGGAAAAGAAAACCCTCAGCTTCTTATATGTAATGAATATATGAAAATGAGACCCTCGCCTTGGGAAGAAGAGGCGGTGTCACAGGTGAACGCACCTGCCTTCCACTTCCAATGGTGGTAGGGGCTGAGAGGCAGAAAGTGGTTCGGCCGACTCTTTGTACCCAAACAATTTATCCTCATGTACATACACTCCCATTCCCCAGGGTTCACTCTAAAAGGTGGCAAGTTAAATAAATCGAAATGTTTACAGCGGCTGGTTAATTCAGGTATGGTGGGTAACTGTATGTGTCAACTTGACTGGTGCACAGGGTGCCCACATCGTCAGCAAACCATCACCCTGGGTGTTGCTGTGAGGGTGCTTTTGTGGCCCCCTCCACCCCGCTCCCGCCCCCTGCACAAGATTAACATTTAAATCAGTAAACTGAGTAAAGCAGATTGCTCTCCCTGATGTGGGTGGGCCCCATCCAATCAGTTGAAGGCTTGACTAGGAACAAAAAAGACTGGCCCTCCCTTCAGGAAGAGATCATTCTTCCTGACAGCCTCCAGGCTGGGATGTCAGCTCTTTTCCTGCCTTTGGACTGGAATTAAATCATCACTTTCCTAGGTCTCTAGCTTGCTGACACACTGCAGACCTGGGACTTACCAGCCTCTCCATATGTAGAGGAATAGGCATGAGCCAATATATACTTATATTCATATAAATATGAATATATATGTGTGTGTGTATATACGTATCTTATTGGTTGTTTCACTGGAGAACTGTGACTAATAGTTCATAAAGGTAACTTTTCACCTTTTGTATTCCTCCATCTTTTCTAATTTTTCTGTAATGAGCATGTACACAATAATCATTTATTTAAAACTGTGTGTTATTAAATGAACAACAGGAAGGATCGTGTCCCTTTACTTACATCAGAAGTATCTGTACTTCAGAGCATCTCAAACTTTAGGACCTATACATATTGCCTGAGAGCTGTTAAAACAGGGCCCCACCCTCAGAGATTCTCATTCGGGAGTTCTGGGGGGGAGGGGGGGAGTGTCTGCA